AAAAAACTTCCAGCATATGAAAGTCCTGGAACAGATGGCTTCACAGGTGAATTTTACCAAACATTCCAAGAAAAACTAACACTTACCTTCTTAAACAATTCCAAAAACTTCAAGAGGAGGAAGACACTCAAGCTCCTTTTACAAGGAGCATTATCCTAATTTTAAAACCCCCCCAATTTTTTTGTACATAAGGACACTACACAAAAAATTACAGAGCAATATCCCTGATGAACAAAGATGCTAAAATTCTCAACAAAGTATTAGCAAACCAGATCCACCAATACATTAAAAAGGTAATACACCACAATCAAGTGGGATTTAGTCCAGGGATGCAAGGCTGATACAATAATCACAAATCAATAAATGTGATACACCACATAAACAAAATGAAGAATAAAAACCACATGACCATATCAATAGATGCAGAGAAAGCATTTGATAAAATCCAGTACCCATTTATGACAAAATCCTCAGCAAAGGGGGAATAGAGGGAACATACCTAAACATAATAAAAGCCATTATGACAAACCCATAGCCAACATTATATTCAATGGGCAAAACCTAAAACTGTTTCCCTTAAGATCTGGAACAAGACTGGGATGTCCTCTATCACCTCTTCTTCAACATAGTGCTGGAAGTCCTAGCTACAGCAATCAGACAAGAAGAAATAAAAAGCATCCAAATTGGATAGAAAGAAGTAAAACTGTCATTACTTGAAGATGACATGCTACTGTACATAGAGAACCGTAAAGATTCAGCCAAAAAAAAAAACAAAACCCAGAACTGATAAATGAATTCGATAATAAAGCAGGATACAAAATAAATATCCATAAATGAGTTCCATTTTTATACATCAGTAATGAACTAGCAAAAAGGAAAACTAAGAAAATCCCATTCGCAATTACATAAAAAAATACCAAAAAAACAACCACCTTGGAATAAATTTAACCAAAGATACAAAAGATCTACACCCCTCAAATTATAAGACACTGAAGACAGAAATGGAAGAAGATACTAATAACTGAAAGCATATACCATGCTCATGGATAGGAAGAATTAGTATCATTAGAATGTCCATACTATCCCAAGCAATGTACAGACTTAATACCTATCAAGATACCAATGGTATACTTCACAGAAGTAGAACAACTATTACAAAAATTTATATGGAAGCACAAAAGACCCTGAATAGCCTCAGCAATCTTGAGGAAAAAAAGAACAAAGTTGGAGGTATCACAATACCTGATATATCCAATGATACCACAAGGTCACTGTAATCAAAGTAGCCTGATACTGGCATAAGAACAGGTATATAGATCAATGGAACAGAATGAATGCCCAGAAATCAACCCACGCCTTTATGGTCAATTAATATTTGACAAGAAAAGCAAGAAAATACAATTGAATCAAGATAGTCTCTTCAATAAATGTTGGGAAAATTAAGCAGGTACGTGCAAAAAAAATGAAACTAGACTACCAACTTATACTATACACAACGATAAACTCAAAATGAATAAAAGACTTAAATGTAACTTGCAAATCCATAAAAATCCTAGAAGGAAACATAGGCAGTAAAATCTCAGGTCTCTCTCGTAGCAGTATTTTTACCAATACATCTCTTAGGGCAAGGGAAATAAAGGAAAAAAATAAACAAACGGGACTACATTAAACTAAAAAGCTTCTGCAGAGCGAAAGAAATCATTAACAGAATGAACAGGGCACCCACTGTATGGGAGAACATTATTTGCCAATGATACATCTGATAAGGGATTAATTCCCAATATATATCAAGAACTTAATTCAATATCAGGAAGACAAACAATCCAATTAAAAAATGGGCAAAGGACATAAATAGACACTTCTGAAAAAAGGATATATAAATGGCCAATAGACATATGAAAAGATGCTCAACATCACTAATTATCAGAGAGACGCAAATTAAAGCCACAATGAGACATCCCTTATAGCTGCCATAACTGCTACCATCAAGAAATCAACAAACAAGTGATGGCAAGAATGTGGAGAAAAGGCGACCTCTAGAGCACTGTTGGTGGGAATGCAGGCTGATGCAGCCACTGTGAAAAACTGGAGATACCTCAATGAATTAAAAAGGGAACTTCCTTTGACCCAGCAATCCCACTTCCAGGAATATATCCTAAGAATCCCAATACACTAATTAGAAGAAATATATGCACCCCTATGTTCACAGCAGCATCATTTACAATAGCCAAGGTCTAGAAACAAACAGCCCAAGTGCCCACTAGTAGATGAGTGGATAAAAAAGCTGTGATATATTGACACAAGGGAAAACTACATGGCTGTAAAAAACAAAGGAAATCTTTCCTTTTGTGACAGCATGGATGGACCTGGACAGCATTATGCTAAGTGAAAGAACCCAGTCAAAAAGGCCAAGTACCATAAGATCTCACTCATATGGAGAATCTAATGAACAAAATAAACTGATAAACAAAATAAAACCAGATGCATGGATACATGGAACAGACTGACAGCTCTCAGAGGGGAGTGGGATGGGGGAACAGGAAGAGATTAGGTAAAGAACATATATGCATAGCTCATGGACAGAGACAACAATATAGTTAAGGCTGGGAGGGGGGCTAAGTGGAGGGGTAAAAGGGAAATAAATGGGGGACATCTGTAATAGTGTCAACAACAACAAAAAAATCAACGAGACCAAAAGATGGTTCTTTGATATGTTAACCTGACAAACCTTTTGCCAGAGTGATCAAGAAAAAACAGACAGCAGACTCAAATTATAATACAAATGAGAGGCCATTACTACTGACCTTACAGAAATAAAAAGTGCTATGAAGAAATATAATGAATAGTATGCTAATAAGTTAGATAAAATGGATATATTAAATTAAATGGACAAATTCCTACAAAGACAAAACCACCAAAGCTGATACAAGAAGAAATACAAAATCTCAATTGGCCCAGTCCACAGTAAGTGAAGAAAATGATCAGTAACATAAAAAACAAAAACAACAAAAACAAAACAAAAAACACCACCCACAAAGAAAAGTCCCAGCCCAGATAGCTTCACTAGTAAAGTTTAACACATGTTTTAGGAAGAGTTAATGCCACTTCACAAACTCTTCCCCCTAAAATGGGAAAGGAAAAATATTAGCTCAATCATTCTATGAGATCAGTATTACTCTCATACCAAAACCAGATAAAAATATCACAAGAAAACTACAGATCAGTATCTCTTATGAATATGGACACAAAAGTCAACAAATTAGTAAATAGACTCCAGCAACATATAAAGTGAAGACTATACCATGACTACATGGGATTTATCCCAGGAATGCAAAGTTTGCTTAATATCTGAAAATCAATTAGTGTGATATGCTACAGTAAGAGGGTGAAGAATAAAAGCAACATGATCATCTGTAAGATGCAGCAAGAGCATCTGACAAAATCCAACAACCTTTCATGATAAAGACAATCAATAACTGGGAATAGAAGGGAACCTGCCCAACATGCTAAAGGACATCAAAAAACCTCACAGCTAACATCGTATCTGTGAATGAGGGAAGTTTCCCCTCTAAGTTCAGGAACAAGACAGGAACTTCTTATTAAACACTGGAGATCACAATCAGGGCAACTAGGCAAGAAAAAGAAATAAAAGACATCCAGTTAAAAAGGAAGAAGTGAACCAGAAATAATATTGAGATAAGCAAGGTTGTAGGACATGAAAAATCAAAATTATTTCTATATACTTGCAATGAACAAACAATACAAAAATGAAAGAAAGAAAATAATTCTATTTACAATAGGATAAAAAAGAATACAATACTTAGGAATAAATTCAACAAAAGAGTGTAAAACTTAACCCTGAAAACTTCATTTCATGCCCACTAGACGGCTATAATCAGAAAGTGGTGTGGTAACAAGGAAGTGGAAAAATCCTAACCCTTACACACTGCTGGTGTGAATGTAAATGGTGCAGCCACTTAGGGAAAAACAGTTGTAGCAACTCCTCAAATGGTTAACACAGAGTACCATGTGACCGAGCAATTCCATTCCTTACTATACACACCCAAGAGAAATAGAAACACAGGTCTACACCAAAACTTGTACAAGAACGTTCAGAGCAGAATCATTCACAATTGCCACCAAATATCTATCAGCTGATGAATGGATAAACAGAAGGTAGTATATCTATACAATGAAACCTTATTGCATAAAAAGGAATGAAGTACTGATACCTACAACAACATGCAAGAACTCTGAAAATACTGTTAAGTGAGAGTCGCTAGTCACAAAAGGCCACATACTTGATTTCACTTATATGAAATGCCTAGAATAGACAAATATATAGAGAAAGAAAGCAGATTGATTGCTTAGGCATAGGGGGAATGAAGGGAAAGGGATATAATAGCTTTTAAAGGTTCAGTGTTTCTTTCAGAGTGATGATAACAACATATCATACTCACTAGGCTGGCAGAAACAAACTTTTAAAAAATATTATGTATTGGCAAAGATGTAGAGTAAACGTGGAATCTGATGTAATGACTTTTGAAAACTATTTAACAACGTCTTTGAACTGCTTTGCAAATTCCTGATGTGGATATACTGTGTATTCTACAGAAAATCTCTTGCACATATGTACTGAGACACTTATATGAATGTTTAAAATAGCAATGTCTGGAATATGAGTAAAGCTGGAAAGTGTCCAAATATCCCCAGAGGAATAGTTCATAGTCAGAAAATGGAATATGTGAGTGCACACATATATGTATGAGAATGAAGAAACTACAGTTATACATCAACATGGAAGAATTGCACAAATATATTGAGCAAGAGAAGTCACAAAAATATCAATATCTGCAATATAATTTTAGATACAGAAAACTGAAAATAGGTAAGGCAAACAACTATTCTGCTTAGAAATTCATAATATATTAGAAAATTATACCCAGAAGTTGTAAGACCAAAACAAATGCTACTGAGGTAGAATAACATATGTATCTTACCAGCTCTCTTAGGAAATCCTGTTGAAAGGAATCTCAAAGATGTCATAAGGTGTCCATTGCCTACTTTTTGACCAATAAATTTTACTGTTACTATTGCATATGGAAGACACTGCCTAGGTTTGTCTACTGGGTTTGAAAAAACATCGTATTCATAGAAGTATACCTGAAAGGTAAAAGAGATAAGAATATTTTTATGCTGATTAATTTTAACAGACTTAAGTTAATATTTTTAAAAACTATATTAACTGCATAATGTTATTTATTCATCTGATTCCATATACTACCCCCCTTCCTGCCTTCTTTGACCCCCTTTTTTTTTTGAAGATGTATGAATTTTTTCCCCCTGCCACGCATTTTTTCCTTGGTAGGCTACCAATGTCAGTAGAAGCTGACACAATCTGTTTTTAAATTTAGAACTATTTTTCCATTAAAGGTTTAATGTTTTGCATATGCTGTGAATGCACTCCACTATATTTTATATGGTTGAAAAAGTTAATTAGGAACAGAATCAAAACAATGCATTTTACATGTGGTGGCATATATATATCTCTAGAAGGTTTAGCTTCATTTAATTATATATATGGTTATATATAATGTGTATTATATATAATTTAATCTTTTATAGAAGACTAAAGTAAAGGTCTACTGTCTCACCAACATATGATAGAAAATTATCATTTTACATGCAATGACCAGGATAAAAGTCATTGCTCCTTCTGCAAAGCACAAAGGATCAAGAACATTATTTCAAAATAGCCTTGTTTAAAAAAAGGTGGTGTGCTTTGCAAAACATAAATTTACCTATGGAACATTTAAATAAAAGCAGACACTCTATTTTAAACAAAGGTAAATATAAATTTGAAAACCCTTCTACTAACATTCTCAGATAAGTATTAAAACATCTTTCACTGCTTATTTATTTAAGGTAACATTATATTGAGTGAACCAAGAGCTGTTGCTTTAATATTTTGGGAGGTTCTTTTAAGTTTTATACCATACAGTGTGAACCATATGACATTCAAGTAGTCAGATGAACTAAAACATTAACATACTGCTGAATTGTAGGCTTGTAGCTCAATGGTATCTTTTGGAGAAGGTGTATTTCTTGACATATGGCAATCAAAGTTAGGAGAAGGATCCAAAGAAACTTTGTTTTTATCCACCGAAGGCTGAATTTTCTTCACTTTTCCAAAAAGAACCTTTAAAAGAAGGTAAAAAGGAGGTCTGTAAAAATACAGCAAAACACTTTAAACTTTCATAACACAGAGAGTTGTGAAACTCACTCTTTTTAAAAGGAAGATCTATGAATGGAGATAATCCATGTTACAGATAAATAGATAACTCATTGTAATTAAGTCATCTATTCCATTAAAAGTTTATACAAAATTTGACAAAAATTTGTAATTATGTCAATTTTCACCAACTTAAACTCTAAGACTAAAGTAATCCCAATAAAAATTTCAGAAAATCTCTTTGTAGGAATGAGCTGTAGTCTAAAAATTTATCTGGAAGACTAAACAAACAAGAATATCTAAGACAATTTAAAAACTTTTTTGTAAAAATGGTGAGTCAGAGATAGAGAATGATGGCACGGAGCAGGTGACTTGCACTTCCAGATATTAAATACTTTTTAAAAGGATGGAACTACCGTAAGAAAAGGCAGAAACTACCATAAGAAAAGTTTTTCCCCCCTGTTGGGGAGGGTAAGAGTAAGGGGAAGGGGAAACGGGGGGAAAAAAAAAGCCCAGGTTAAGTCCAAGCAACTAAAATTATACAACTAAAAATACTGTATAATATTAAAAGTACTATTTGAAGTAAAGCAAAAACAGATTTAATAAATAGTGTGCAACTGGAAAATTAAATTCACTTCTTAATATATAAAGCAAAATAATTACCAAGTTATATATTTATAAAATACAAATATTATAGAAAGAAATACCATCAAATCTTTATCTCATTTTAAAGTGAGAAAGTGAGAATTCTTCTCTAAGCATGTGTGCTAAGAAACCATGAACCAAAAACACAGACTTCACTGTAAAATATTTGAAAACTGTACATCAAAAAAAATGTGTAAGCCCAATGGACTAGGTGCTAGCCTATAAACCAAAAGGTCATTGGTTCAATTCTTAGTCAGGGAACATGCCAAGTTGCGGGCTGAGAGGCAACCCATCAATGTTTCTCTCTCTTTGATGTTTCTCTAACACTCTTTCTTTCTCCCTTCCACTCTCTCTAAAAATAAATACATTCTTTAAAAAAATTTGTAAAATTCAGAAAATGAACATAAGTGATAGAACACAATGAGAAAGAAAATGGAATTAATGTGAAAACAAGTTCACATTTTATTTAATGGCAACAATTCTATTAGTTACTTTTAACATGCTAGTACTTTCATTCAAAATTAAAAACAATAGTAAATATAATGTGGAATCCTACATTTGGATATTGGAAGAGAAAAAACATTAGTAGAAAACTGGCAAAAACCAAATACAGTCTATAGTTTAGTTAATGGTACTGTACTACTACTACTTTCTTTTCATTTTATTATATTTTATTGAGATGTAATTGTTGTACACATCATTGATTTCTTAGTTTTGATAGATGTGCCATAGTTATGTGAAATATTAACATTAGGGGAAGCTGAGTGAATTGTATAAAGGAATGCTCTGTACTATTTTTGTAACTTTTCTGTAAATTTAAATTTATTCCAAAATAAAGTTTATTTGAAAAAAATCACATTGATAGAACATTATACCAAGAAAAGCTGAGGTCTATGCTTTAATAAACTGATAATGCTCACAAATAACTAGGAAAAAAAGAAAATGGCAAAGGATATTATCAAGCAATTATCTAATTATTGTTAATGAATATATACAGAATGTTTAAATAGCAATAACTATGAAAAAGAAAAAACTGAACCAATGAGAAACTATCACATATTAAAACTGGTAAAGAGATTTTTTTTAAGTATAATATACAGAGTTAGTGACACTGTGAGGTAATAGATATTCCTACATAAAGTAGATAGAAACGTCAACCTTTCCAAGGACAACTGGGCATTGCATATCAAAAGTTGTAAAAGTGTATATACCTTCAACTCCTAATTTGACACCTAAAAATTAACCAATTAACTCTTAACAAATAATCATAGGCATGTGTAAAAATGTACCTACTAGGATGATCAAAGTAGTATTTAAAAATACAAAGACAAAGCAAAACAAATAACTTATACTCTAACGTTAAAAAATTGTTACACAAATTTATGGTACAGCTGTATAGTGGAATACTATGCAGTCATTCAAAAGGATATTTCAGAAGAATACTTATTTAAGGACATGGAAATATTCATTTTATAGTCAATGAAAAAAGTTATATAGTAAGTAAAAACATTTTAATTACACTTACATATGCATATCCATATACATGAACAGAAGACTAAATAATAAGATTAAGTACTTGTTACTAAGTATTGTAAAAGTAACTGTAGTTATTTATTAAAAGGCTTTTTGGAGCTTTTCAGTATGTCCCAATTTTTCTAAATTAAGTATGTATGACTTTTAATGCAAAAATAAATTATGCTTTATGAATTTGATAGTATTTGAGGTCTAAAAATAAAAGAAATTATACCAAATGAACCAATGATTTTACACTCTAAGTTACACAACTCAGCATCCTGCATAGCATCTGTGATTTTAGTATTCCTGGCAAAGCTGCAATTAACCAAAAAGTGTATCTTAACCAATTTGTTAATGCTTAAGATTTGAGTATAAGACTTACTGTTTTCAATTTTGAATAACTTTAGACTTTCAGGAAAGTTGCAAAAATAGTTTGGAAATCCTGTATACCTGTACGCAGCTTTTCCTAATGTTAACTTCTTACATAAACGTAACAAAATTATGAAAACTAAGAAATTAGCATTGTATAATACTATTAAGAAAAATAAACAATAGGAATTTAGTAACTTTAGCTTAAGCCAGAACAATTATAACCAATGTTTTGAAGAAGGACACTTAAAATCCTCTGGCATTAATAATGGTCTGAACAAGAGAAAGAGGGTCAATTAAGATAAAAAATTATACGCTGACAAGACAAAGATGGTATGGTCTGCCTTTGTTTACTTGGACTTCTGGTTTATGCTGCACACCCAACTAACACCAGAAATAGGAGGAAATTCTTTTTTTTCTTTAAAGATTTTATTTATTTATTTTTAGAGTGGAAAGGGAGGGAGATAGAGAGAGAGAGAAACAACAATGTGCGGTTGCTGGGGGTTATAGCCTGCAACCCAGGCATGTACCCTGGCTGGGAACCAAACCTGCGACACTTTTGTTCGCAGCCCACGCTCAATCCACTGAGCTACGCCAGCCAGGGCTAATAGGAGGAAATTCTGAATGATAACGATGATGACAGTAATAAATATAATTATTTATTTTATATAACTTAAAAACACTAATAATTCACATGTTCAGGTCAATTTAAAATAAACTGAATATAATAGTTAATATTTGTTTTAGGCTACCTACCTTAAAAACTATAATACTTTCTACATTAATGCTTCTACTGTGAGCATAATTCAATGCAACATCAACATGTCTAAATATATAAATTCCAAGAAGAGGATTTCCTAATATCTTCAATGCAGATGCTTTGCTACTTATCCCATTATAATATATCTCAGCCACATCACTCTGAGGAAGTGCTAAAAAGCAGAAATGTTCTTCAAGTTCTCTGCCATGTCTTCCATTTTCACGCATCTCTGACCTAAAGCAAAACAAATATGCAGTGAAATGAGAATATCAACACAATTTTTAACAGAAAATAAGTATTTCAACTTACTATAGTCAGAAAACACGACAATTATTGAGAAAATGCACAGGGGACAGTGTCCTATCGAAACAAGTTAGGCTGAAAATCATCTAAGGAAGAAATGCAAATAGCAGCTAGGTAACTACTTGTCCAGAATTATGATAAGGGCTAACATTTCCTGAATGCTGCTAATATGCCCAACACTGTTAAGACTTAACCTTTACATGCATTTTGTCATTTGTTGTCTACTCTCCCAAATTGAGTTGTTGTTGTTATTATTATTATTGTTATACATGTTTTAAAAATGACAAATATGATGTTTAAAGAGTTAAAACTTGCCAAAGTAGCAAAGTACATAATTGGAATTGTATATGCCAACCATTAAGTTCCAGAGATCAAATTCTTACTTATTTGTGTTATAGAGGAAAGAATATGCATTTCTTAAATACATACACATAGAGACAAATACACACATTCACATATATATGGTCAATTATTAGGGCGCTCCATTCTTCAGGGATATAGATAAGAGCTGGAAGAAATAAGTGAGAATTTGATTACCAACTCCTATCTTAGTAGTAAAATAAATCATCCTCAGAAAGGATTATAATCTAAACTACAGATACTCTTGAAATTTTTTACTACAATCAAGAACCACTTAAAAATACAAAATATCTATCATCTCCTTTCAATTGGCAGATTGGATGGGGAGTTCTCTGTGGCTTGGTCAGTGCTAGTTATCACTAGCAACTTGTGGGACAGTAGTTCAATCACTGGGACAGAAATGTGATGCCCAGTGACTATCAACAATGGAGAACCTAGGTAATGTGTGAGCCACAAAAGAAAATTTGTTATTTCCTCCAGTACCACTCACAGAATTTATAAAAGTATACTATGCATATTAGCATATTTGTATTTTTTTCATTAGCAAGAATGACTCACCATTAATTGTAGACAGGGCTACAAAACACATGGCAACAGTTACAATCAAGACTAACTGATTAGATCATGGCCACTTCTCTCTCAGTTCCTGCAGATGTCAACCTTAACTTTCAACTTCACGTGTCATCATTTCCTGCTCTTGCTTTAAAGTTGACATCAGTAGGTTCAGTGAAACACTAAGATCTCTATGTTGATTGTTAAAGTTTAAATCTCACAGAAGCACAATAATACTTTTGTTTTCCCAATTTCTCAATTGGTTTTTCTTAGGATCTGGAAAAAATATTAACTCTCTGAGCAATGCCTAGAAGGATTTCCTAGCCGGGCCCAAGTATTTGCTCAGGAAGTTCGTTTTCCCACATGGAAACACAAGAGCACAAAGGATGGGACGGGGGTAGAAAAATCAAAGTATATTGTCAGGTTTTTACCTACGCATAAATATAACATTATGTGAAAATGCAGTTATAAATTAAAGATGTATAATGAACAACAGAGCAGGGTTTCTCAACAGTGGCACCACTGGTATTTTAGGCCAAGTAATTCTCTGTGTTTCTTACTGGCTAAACATTATGTCCTCTCTAAGGGATTAAGTAGAAATAAAAAAAAAAGATCACACCCAGGAATCCCAAAACCTATATAACTAAAGCAGAACATATTCTCTGGAGTTTTGTATTGGTAATATACTAATAAATACTATGTGGTTTTCAGAATTATATTGGAAATTTAGGGTTAAATATGACATATAAAAATGAACAATAAAAAATTACCCATGACAACTCTTTGTAGGTTTAAAAATTTTTATAAAAGATTACCTTTTGAAGTTACTCAGAACTAGAATCTGTCTGCTTGTCAAACGACAGAAGCTCTGAGTCTCAAAACCTTCGTTTCAGAGATGATAGGTAAAATGAATCTGAGTAGTCTTTTGTGTTTACAGTAACACATAACTGGGAAAGAATAAGAACAACTACTACATACAAAGTGCTCTATTACCAAAAGATAGTAATATATATCAGAGTGTATGCTAACAGGGTATTTATATTATCTTAAATATAAAAAATAAGAGCTAAGAATAATTTTCCAGAAATGTTTTCTCATGTTTTTATAAAGCAATACTAATGAGGAGTAAGTGTCACAATTTGTCAGTTCCTGAACCTTTCGAATACTTTAAGCTCTGGAGTGGAAAGTTCGAAATCAACACAGCACTCAAATGTTAATTTTGTAGATATACTCTTGGTTGTGGGCTGGTCATTATTTTAAACCACTATTTTATTAAACATTAAGTGAATTAATATAAAAATCTTAGATAAGAAAATTTACATCGATAAAGAAGTTACATATACGTTAACATAAGACAACAAATGAGTGATAGAAACAGGATTAGATATCTTGGATATCTTTTGAAAGACCACGAACTTATAATTCACTGTGCTACCATGTCTATCTACTGAAACCAACAACAGAATACAAGGATTAAGTGCCTCAAATAGAATGCCTATGTCACAATTAATTACATTACACAAAGATTCCAAAGATAACTTGTACAGTAGGTAATAGATACTTTGTTTTAGTAAATGAAACATGGAAAGTATCATTATTTTCAAGTTTAACTGGAATCAAAACTGCTATTTAGCTACTACTACTGGTTATGGAGCTACTGGTGGTGCTTAGACGACAGAATGAATATAATAAATTATGTTTTTTAGGATATAAAGAAAATGAAGTAAGTGGCTTTGGAAAGCTTGAAAGGGAACTTAATTGTTTTTAAATCCATCAACTACCTGTGAAAAAGTGATAATTGTACAGCTGGAATAAGATGCAATATGTAAATGAAGCACAGAGAGCTAAGAGAAATTGTACAGCTGGAGTAAGGTGCAATATGTAAATGAAGCACAGAGAGCTAAGAGAAATTGGGATTTAACAAAGTTTAAATAAGAAATAAAAGTTTGATTCAAGAGTATTGGTATCACAAAGATGGTGAAGTAGAAGACCCCAGTTTCCAGCTCCATTAGAGCTATCCACGAAGAAAAGCAACTCTAGGAGAGCTCTAGAGTCAACTTAAGAAACTTCAGCAACACAGTGGCACAAAAACTCGAGAATAACTGCACAAAAAGGGTAAGATGAACAGCTTTGCCTGCATCACTGCCCCACACCCCATGCTAGCAGTGTCCAGTGCCAAGAGGGAATTCCCTAGGTAATTTCCCCTTGTTGGGAAGGTGAGAGCAGGGTGAGTGACCAGCTTCCCCAGCCTTCTGGAGTATCACATGAAGGACTTGCTTTGGTTGCCTCAACCAGAGACCACAGGAGTATGAAAGTAGAAATCAGTAACAGGAGAAAGATTTAGAAATTCACAAATAAGAGAAAATTAAACAATACATTCCTGAACAATGAGTCAAAGATGAAATCACAAGTGAAATAAAAAAATACTGAAAGGAAAATGGAAATGCCATATACCAAACTTTATGAGATGTGCAAAAGCAGTGTTAAGAGGAAATTTTATAGTAATAAGTGCCTACATTAGGGGAAACATCTCAAATAAACCTAACTTTACACTGTCTAGAAACCAGTAAAAGAAGAGTACAAGAACAACTAAGCCCTGGCTGATGTGGCTCAGTGGACTGAGTGCTGGCCTGCAAACCCAAGGGTCACTGGTTCGATTTCCAGTCAGAGTACCTGCCTGGGTTGCGGGCCAGATCCCAGGCAGGGGACACACAAGAGGCAACCACACATTAATGTTTCCCTCTCCTTCTCCTTCCCTTCCCCTCCTCTAAAAGACAAATAAATAAAATATTTTTTTAAAAAAGAAGTAAGCCAAAGTTAGCCATTAACATCATATTGATTGGTGAAAAGCACAAAGCTCCTGGATCAGGAATAAACAAGTCATCCTTGTTTAAAAATCCTAGCTAGAGCAATTAGGCAAGAAAAAGAAAGGGATGGAATTGAAATCCAAAAGGAAGAAATAAAATGGTCTCCTTCTTTATTTTAGATGACATGCTGTTATATACAGAGAAAGACCTAAAGACTCTACCAAAAAAATGTTAGACCTAAGAAACAAATTCAGTAAAGTTTAAGATACAAAAATCAATGTAAGAAGCACTGCATTTTATATAATAACAGTGAACTACCTGAAAAAAATAAAAGTAATTTCATTTACAGTAACACCAAAACCAATAAAACACTTAGGAATAAATTTAAACAAGGAGGTGAAAGGTCTATAAACCAAAACTGTAAGACCCCTATGAAAGAAACAGAATACACAAAAAATGGAAAGATATCCCATATTCGTCAGTGGTAAGAGTTAATATTGATAAAATGTCAATACTACTCAAAGCCATATAAAGATTAAATGCCATCTCTATCGACATTCCAATGGAATTTTTAATAGAAACAGAACAAACAATCCTGAAATTTTTATGGAACTACAAATGAACCTGAACAACCAAAGAATTTTGAGAAAGAAAGGAGCTTAAGGCATCGCACTTCCTAATTTCAAAATATATTACAGGGACTTCTAGTCAAGATGACAGGATAGGAAAACACAGCTTGCCTCTTTCTATAACCACATCAAATTTACAACTGTAATATAGAACAACCATCACTCAGAACCATCAGAAATCGAGTTGAATGGAAGTATGGCAACTATGGAATTAAATAAAGAAACCACATCCATCCAGACTGGTAGGAGGAGTACAGATACGGCACATGCTAGTCCCACACCCACATGTGGTGGATAAAAATTCAGAAGGGATCTCTGGAGAGTGAGGAGTCTCAGCCCCACAGCCCAGAGTTCCACAACTTCTGGCTACAAAACCCAGCAATGATTGAATTGGTAGAAGAAACTGCTGGAACCCCAAGCAGTTCCTCTTAAAGAACCCACACATGGATTCACTTACTCATAATCACTCCCTCTGAGCTCCAGCACTGGGGTAGCAGCTTGAAAGGCATGAGTGGTATACAGGGAGAAACTGAAGTGTCTGGCATCAAGATGAGCAAAGGCCATTGTCCCTTTTCTGACCGCC